ATTAATAAACACACCAAACATAACCCACTCTTCACCACCCAAAAAATATAAACTTTTCTCATTGCAGAGTTGGCAACAGTAGGAAATGAATTCTGAAAATAATAAATAAAAATATGTTTATTCAGATATTATAAAAAAAAAAAATATTCAGGAATATAAGTAGTCACTGAATATGGCTGTGTTGCTGGAGGCGGCGAGAGGTTGGTGGTGAGGGAAGGATGTGGGTGTGGGAGTGACGGAAGGTTGTGGAGTGGGGGGAGGATGTGGGTAGCAGCGGCGGGAGGATGGTGTTGGGGGAAGGTGGGGGTGACTGAATCTCTCACAACAAGGAGGGAAATTATTATATTTTTCAACGTTGATATGGTGCGATCGAGAGAGGGAAGAGGTGTGATGAGAGAGGAAGAGGTGTGGAGAGAGAGAGAGAGGACAGGAAAGAAGGAAGAAAGGAAGAGTTTGAGGAAAGAGGGTTGGGAAATGGAAGCGGAGACAGAGTAGGAAAGATAAGAAGATGGAACAGCGAGAGAGAGAGGGAGAGGAACGGCGAAAGAGAGAGGGAGAGGAACAGCGAGAGAGAGAGGGAGAGGAACGGCGAAAGAGAGAGGGAGAGGAACGGCGAAAGAGAGATGGGGAGGTGTGGATAGAGAGGGAAAAAGAGAAAGAGAAGAGGGTGGGGAAGGTTGACATTGGAGAGAAAAGGAAATTAAAAGAGGGAGGAAAGGTTAAAAAGTAAAAAAAAAACATAATGAAAGGAAGTAGAAAGTAAGGTGATAATGATGTGAAGGACGAAGGATACCGGTTGATGTGAAGGACGAAGGATACTGGTTGGTGGAAGGACGAAGGATACCGGTTGATGTGAAGGACGAAGGATACCGGTTGGTGTGAAGGACGAAGGGTATGTGAAGCGACATGATACCGTTTGATGTGAAGGACGAAGGGTACCGGTTGATGAAGGACGAAGGGTACCGGTTGGTGAAGGACGAAGGGTACCGGTTGATGTGAAGGACGAAGGACGAAGGTACCGCTGATGTGAAGGACGAAGGGTACCGGTTGATGAAGGACGAAGGGTACCGGTTGATGTGAAGGACGAAGGATACTTGATGTGAAGGACGAAGGATGGTAGATGAAGGACGAAGGATATTGGTTGATGAAGGACGATGGTACGGTTGCGGGAAGGACGAAGGGTACCGGTTGATGTGAAGGACGAAGGATACCGGTTGGTGAAGGACGAAGGGTACCGGTTGATGAAGGACGAAGGGTACCGGTTGATGAAGGACGAAGGGTACCGGTTGATGTGAAGGACGAAGGATACTGGTTGATGTGAAGGACGAAGGATATTGGTAGATGTGAAGGACGAAGGATACTAGTAGATGTGAAGGACGAAGGATACTGGTTGATGTGAAAGACGAAGGATACTGATTGGTGTGAAGGACGAAGGATACTGGTTGATGTGAAGGACGAAGGATACTAGTAGATGTGAAGGACGAAGGATACTGGTAGATGTGAAGGACGAAGGATACTAGTAGATGTGAAGGACGAAGGATACTGGTTGATGTGAAGGACGAAGGATATTGGTAGATGTGAAGGACGAAGGATACTGGTAGATATGAAGGATGGAGGATACTGGTTGATGTGAAGGACGAAGGATATTGGTAGATGTGAAGGACGAAGGATACTGGTAGATATGAAGGATGGAGGATACTGAAGTTACAAACAGGAGCGAGTGGGAGGACCAATAAGGAATAATATAGTAATCTAAGCAGTGTCAAGGTAATGTAATCACTCCGGGCTACGACAGCATTTACCTGTACACCTTGTTGACCCACAGTTCATTCTTGTTTAACTCCTGTATACTAATGTTCTCTCTCTCTCTCTCTCTCATGTGTTACCCACCAGACATTTGGCCGAGGAAGGAAATTAGTTTGTTTTGAAAGAAGTTTGTGAGGAATAAACACAGTTGATCCGACAAACATCATTTCGATTATGTTTGCTTACAGCGACACACGCTTATACGTTTCACTGTTCCTGTACCTGTGTGAGTGTGTGTGTGTGCGTGTGTGTGTGTGTGTGTGTGTGTGTGTGGGTGTGTGTGTGTGTGTGTGTGTGTGTGTGTGTGTGTGTGTGTGTGTGTGTCAGTTATGTATATCTGGCCACGTTTGTCCGTCGCTTCTCTCTAATTTCTCCGTCTCCCTTTGTTTGTGAGTCTGTTTGTCCGCTCCCTGACTCTCATTCTCTATTCCCCATCAACAGACCATTCCACAGATATGCATATAGATAGCTTACAGAGGCGTTTATGTGTAGAGGCCTCGGGATATATCGACGCCCCAATTACTACCTCCACTACAGTCATCAATAACCGCCGCCTCCACCCACCTGAGCTGCAGTATTAAGGGCCAATAATTCAAGTAATCTATATTCTATACGTGACCTCACGCCCTATACCCGCTAGATACATGTGCACACCACCAGCTGTTTGCACAATTTACATACATCATGCCAGGAA